TTTCGCGGTGATAATGAAATCCTCGGATCTCCCAACAATGGAAATTATTTAGGATGTGTGGAGTTATTAAGTGAATTTGATCAGTTTCTTGCAGATCATTTAAAAAAGTTTGGGAATCCAGGGAAGGGACACATTTCTTATTTATCGGCGAATGTTTGTAATGAGTTTATTGACATAATGGGAAAACAGGTACTAACAAAAATTATAAATGAAGTTAAATTAGCAAAATATTTTTCAATTAGCGTTGATAGCACACCCGATATGTCGCATATTGACCAGTTAACTTTTATGATTCGATACGTAAAAGACCGTATTCCCGTTGAAAGGTTTTTGGAATTTATACCTATCAAAGAGCATAAATCTGAATATTTAGCAAAAACTGTCTTGAAATTTTTAGAGGATCACGATATTCCAATCAAAGATTGTAGAGGACAAAGCTACGACAATGCTTCAAATATGTCGGGAAAGTATGCTGGACTGCAAGCGCAAATCAAGGACAAATGTGAATTTGCTACCTATGTACCATGTGCCGGACATTCGTTAAACTTGGTAGGTTTTCATGCCGCTGGATGCGTACAAGAGGCAACAAATTTCTTTCAAATGGTTCAGCAATTATACAACTTTTTTTCGGGTTCTAATCACCGATGGAATACATTGACAGAATATTTAGGTTCAAAAAAAGTTCTTAAAAGCCTTTCTGAAACCAGATGGTCTGCGCGAGCTGATGCAATAAGCGCCTTGCATCAAGGCCATAAACAAATTATAGAAGCCTTGACGTCGATCGCTGAGGATACAGAGCAGAAACCAGAAACTAGGCACGAAGCCCTTAGTTTGTCCAGAAAAATGGAAAAACTGGAATTTATTATAATGACAGAAATTTGGAGCACCATATTGGAACGAATAGACAAAACAAATAAATATCTTCAGAAAGAAACAATGACAATGGACGTTGCAACAAATTTGTTCATTTCACTTGCTGATTTTATTATCAATCTAAGAGATAAATTTGATTGCTTCGAATCGTCTGCCAAAGAGAAATATCCGGAGATTGACTACAAGGACCTATCTCAGAGAACAAGAGGTAGAAGCTCACGTCTGACATTTTATGACGGCTCTGCGCCGTCAATCCAATTAAATGGGAAAGAGAAATTCAGAGTAGAAACTTTTCTTCCCATAATTGACACCCTGAGCCTGCACTTGAAACAGAGATTAAATTGTTATAAAGAAATAAGTCATAGGTTTAGTTTTTTATCTCATTTGAAAACTTTGAACTCCGAGGAGTTGAGACAAAACTGCAAAGAATTTGCAAAAATCTATTATGAAGACGTTAACGAGACAGAATTAGAAATAGAGTGTCTGCATTTAAAAGAATACTTGAAAAGTGTCCAGACCAATGAAGATGAAGAAACTAATATTTCGGAAATATATAATTTGTTGAAAGAAGACAACATCGAGGACATGTTTCCAAATGTGGAAATTGCATTAAGAATTTTTTTAAGCATGATGGTTTCTAACAGCGGTGGCGAACGATCCTTCTCAAAATTGAAAAGAATAAAAAACGAATTAAGAAATACAATTCTTCAACAAAGATTAACCAGCTTGTCGCTGATGTCCATTGAAAGTGACGTGTTAAAAGAGATAGACTTTGAAGAAATAATTAATGATTTTGCATGTCTAAAATCTAGAAAGATATGTCTTTAAACAACATACATTTTAATGTAATTTTAAGGTTATAAAATTAATATTTGAATATAATCTAGTATTTAGTTCACCTACTCCTGTTCTATTGCCTGTTGTTAATAACCCTCTGTCATATAGGGGCCCCATTTATCCCAAAGTGCCCAGGGTCCCCAGTTCGTCTAAGACGGCCTTGGCTGGTGAATAATTCAGGCGGAATCACATCTTCTATAAGGATTAAACTGCATCCATTTTCGAACATCCCTTTTGGTTTTGGAATACAAGCTATTGTATTTTGGGATTGTTACTTTTCAGTGGGAAACCCTTTAGTGAAGGTAAACCAATATATTTGTAGTGTTTTTAGTGTGCTAATTTATTAATTTTAAAATTTTAATTTCTAAGGGTTTTTCTGGGGACTGACGTTAATTCTCAACGTTAGGCTGCACCAGGTGTTCAGCCTGCCTTCGTTCTCGAATTCAACGTGGTGAGAGAGTCAAACCGTGACCTAGTAGTGTCCACCTAGGGATTTACGCTGGTAGATACTTTCCTTTTTGTTGTTCAATTGGCACGTCCGTCGCTGAGACTGCAGCGCAGCCGTTGTGTGTTGCATCACAGAATATATAGCTACGCTACAGAAGGCTCGTGCAATGTATTAAAATGTAGTCCCCGAAAAGAAGCCGGCTCTAAAATCCAGCTTCTTTCAAACTGCGCATGTACAGTAGAGAGTGTAAGTTTAGCTCCTAGCTCGTAGGTGACGCCAGAGGCGAGTCGGATTTAATGCCCAGTTTAGACAGCGTTGCCGGATGTAAATTTTACAGGAATTATTAGGATATTATCAAGGCAAATAAAGTTCTATTTGCCCTGATATTATACCTAAACGATGAAAAGTATTAAATAATATATATGTTATGTATAATATGCATTTCTATATACCAGTGACAACTTACATTTTTTAATTTACAATTAAATTGTAATTAAGAATATACATATGTACAAATAAAATACATACAGGGTGTCTCCTAAACGCCCCAACCCATAACTTCGTTATTTATAGTCCGATTTCAAAAAATAACAAGTCAAATAAAGTGGTTCTAAATACAGTTCAGAGGAAGCCGACTGCAATATTTTTAAACTTTTTTTTTTGAAAAGCAATAATCAATTTTTTTTTTCAAATGGCAATAGTTTTTTTGCATTTATTATTGTGCAGTTTTTTTTTCTGTATACGATGACGTATAAAACATGGACTTTTGTAAAAGATAACATCACAAAAAAGAGTCAAAATGTTTGTCATTACTGCAGAACTACTCCTATTGCGGATTATTGCAGATACCTGAATAATTCATAATTGGTAAATACTTATATTGATTAATGTAACAAGCAAGGATGAGAGTTAGTAACGAATCCTGAAACAATCCCCGACAATATACAGAGTAAGTATTTTTCTGATAGTATATGCTCAGAAAGTTTCCTCCTTCAAAGCATAATTTACTCGTTCTTTTTAAAAATTGATTAAGTGCTCAAAATCGCCTGTTTCGTTTTTGGTGCGCCACTCTGCAACAAACTGAAAAAAAAACATTTAACCGAGTTTTTTAGAAATTTTAAAAATATTTAAATAGGTAATGAATAATAATATTTTTTGTCTTATAATATGTTAGGTATATGTGACGTATGTTTTGAGAAGTTCTATGAATTTGCTAAAGCGCGAGTAGTATACAGTACAGTATTAAACATGATTCTGGGTTAAAATTGTAAATCGTTGCACCTGCACTCGCGCGCGCTGGCTAAGCTAGGGCGTAGGTCTAGGGCCTGCATTCAAATGTTTTTATACAATTTTTTTTCACATAGCGGCAGATCATTTCATTTCAGTTTGTTTCACTAGTGTTAAAGTGCACAGACTAGAATAGAATAACAATAATGGCTGGAAACAAGTGCCAATATTTTAATTGTGGTGAAACTCGAAAATCGGGAGTTCGAATGTTTCGGTTCCCACATAAAAATGAAGATTTATGCAATAAATGGCTTATACATTGTGGTAAGTGTAAAATTCTTACATACGTGAATAATACTACTGACTGCATTTTTTGAATCCATAATTTTATTTTTGCAAATAATAATTTAAAAATATAAGATTGTATAATCCCACTGTCCTTAATAATAATTTTTCAGATATTAATTTTGCTTTTTTAATACATGTACAGTCGCCGCAACATAAAGGTTTCCAACGTAAGAGGTTTACTAACTTTAAATGGCCGATGCTCTGAGTTATTAATAAGAATTTTGAAGATTTACGGCTGTCAGTAATTGCTTTTACTTAGGAACATATAATAAAAAAATTGCAGACTGCATATAGGCAAGCGGTTAAGCTCTCATAATTTAAACAAAATATCGTTCTCGTTCTCAGTAGAAACCTTTATGTTGCGAGTGTACATACAACATAAATTACGATAATAATTTACTATATCATAAAATTTTCAAGTCTTAATAAAAATATTCTACCCTATTTTCGACGGTGCTGAAGACGAATTTGAAGTTTTTTTCGGTCGATTCTAGTTTTTCAGAAAAAATAAATGTACTTCTATACAAGGTGTTCGGAAAATGCGTTAGAAAATTTTAGGAGAAGATTCTGCACGAAAAATAATGTTGTAAGTCATTTAACAAAATGGTTACCATGATACAGGGCGTCAAAATCAACATTTTATTTTCAATTTTAAAATGATTAATTTAATTTAGCTGTAATACCCCATTGAATTAAAACTAAATAATTTTGTTATAGGCAATGTGCAATTGATTGGGTTGCCTCTACATATACTTCGCCAAAAGTATATTTGCGAAAAGCATTGAGAGCTAAAATGAGACATATTATAATGACATTAAAAAAACAATGGCTAAATTCAGAAACTGATTGCCATGAACATAGGTGTCATATTATTGATACCTTGGTAAGAGTCTCACTGTATACATTCTGTAAATGGTCTCAAAAACCGAATAAAAGTTTCAAGCAGAAACTAAAGAACATACAAAGTTTATAGTTTAAGAAAAATTAATAAATCAAATTTCTAACTGAAAGTTTCATAATCAGTATGTCCCCGGATAGGTGAAACGATTCTTGTTAATGATAACAAATTTTAGAGTTAAAATATGTCCTCCTAGGATTCAGCCCTGCTTGATTTTAAACAAAATGTGCCATGATTTCAAGTTCGTAATATCCAGCGCGCTTTGGAAATTTATTTATTTTTTTATTTCAGTCAATAGTAAAGTAGTATTTCTCAGTTTCTCAGAATAAAAAACAAGGGGGGGGGGGTGTACAAAATTTCAGTATTATAGACGTACTTGAAATTTTGAATACTTATGGATAAAAAACCTGCCGTTCTGTGTAAGATACGTCAAGATGTTATTAAAAAGAAAATTTTTAATAGAAAACTGAACGAGCATGCCAAATTT